CATCTATGTAAACTATAGCATCACCTTCATCTGTGTTTTCGTCAATCAGTGTTCTGACTAAAGTGTCAACAATACCAAGAATCTGCCCTCTACAGCTTCCATCAAGTGTGATATAGACTGTAATATTAATGTTTGGAGAGGGAGACATAATTATCCATTTATTTCCAAAATTAATGTCAGTTAGGCGGCAAACATCTTCGATGGCATCCTCAGCCCGACTCATCCAGGATTTGCCTCGTTTGAGTCTACTATCTTTTTTTGCTTGAATAATTCCTCATTAAGTGGGTGTCGGTGGTCTGATTTCGATTTGAGGAAAGCAACAGCCCTGGATTGCTTGATTCTGTTTGCCATTGTGGGGCAATTCCAAGAGGTATCGCATAGATTTACAGCGGTCTAAAGTGGTAACATTTACCGTCCGAAACCCACACGATGAGAATGAGCAAATAGCATTTACTATCTCTTTTAAAGGCCGAAGAGTATTATGTTTAAAATGAAATACATAAATAATTGCTAGCTAAATAATTTTCTTCTCTGCATTTGTGAAAAATTAAAATTAGCGAATTATGTTGTTTTTATTTCAGTCTCTATTCAGTTATCCTGAAAACATTATTTCAAGCGGGTAAACGTGGAAAGGCAGTTTTAGGCGGTTTATGTGTATGCCACTTGTGCTGACGAAATATTTGTCTTATCAAATTAGCCATAAAATTACTATTTTATGTTACCTTTTACATATGGAAATATATAAAAAAAAAAAATATTGCTGTAAACTATATTAATTAATTTTGCTAATACACTTTTTTTCATTACCGTATTGCAGTTAGAAACGTATCTAAAGCGTTAAGCCTTTCTGGTTTGTTATTGTAACTATGTACGTGTTTTTTTTAGATTTGAAAAAATAGTTTTGAAGTTATTTCCATTCTAAAGGATTCCCACAGCTAAAAATTATTGCATAAATAAATTATGTTAACTATAAAGATATTTATAAAACCAATAATACATTAAAGTAATGATCAAAGGTAGTAACAATTCTGCGACAACAAAAATATATTTTAGTTGACGATATTAACACAATTTATGAGCTGGATTAAACGGGAGTACCTGGCCAACAAGTGTTGCATTGTGGTACCTCGCACATTTACCGTCCGCCATTTTCGTTAGCGTTCAGTGTGTGTTTGTGGTGTCTTGTACGTCCTGTGTTTACACGTGGAATCTAGGTATGAAATTCTTTCTTTGTATAGATTATATATTAAGTGAAGTTAAGGAAATTTATTTGATGTAATTAAACAAGAGAATCAAATGTATTATAATTGTAAAGTGTAGCGCCATGTGCTCAGCATAATGGCGGCCGTTCAACTGGCTCCCAGTGGTTGATGGTGGGTGACATAAATTATAACTACGACGCTATTTTTATCAATTTACGCCGTTGGTCGGACCACCACTAGTGCACTTAAAATAAGCATACAGTTGCGTGCTCAATTGTTTTAATTATCAGGTTATGTTCTAGTACAACAGTTTTATCTTTCCCAATACTCCAAGTTCGTCACATGCTTCTTTGCGACTTTCATTTCAGCCCGCCTCCATTTTTTCTCTCAAGTAACGGTTTTCTTGATGTCTAACATCAAAGCAATGCTTTTATAACGCGGCGTCTTCGTACATCGCAATAAAAATTGAAGATGTTTACGTTATTTATTGAACAAATTTAAATAATACGTGCGTCAGTAAGCAACCATCTCCGATTTATTTCAAATAATTCAATATTCATGTTTAAGATTTGATTGCCAGTTATGGCAGGGGCATTTGAACTGAAATGCTACAGATTCTTAGTTTAGAATACTATAAACCAAAAATAAATATTCACATACTACTTGATCTGATCATCACAGCTTAGCTAGTGAAAACATCGTCAGGAAATACATTTTTTAACCCTGTCAGTGCAGTGCAGATTGAAGAGAATAGTACCTGTAAAGAGAGGCAGAGGCTGACCAGCAAAAAGATAATGCATGACTTCTTAGGTTGGAAGTGCATGAGGTGGGAAATGTGACCATTGACTTTTCTTTCAGGCAAGCTGTGATGAGAGCGACATCTGCGAATTTGCTACTTGATCATGAGCCATGGCAGCAATTTATGGCTAGCATGCTGCGGTGGCAGTAGATCCTTTTTTTTTGTATTAAACATTAAGCAATATTAAAACATTTTGTATTAAGCATGGAACCACTTGACTTACTCATGCTGCCACCTTTGCAAAATGAATTGTGAGTAGAGACTTTTTCTCGAGAAGCGAAGTTTGTGATTGGTTATCTTTATGCCTACACAAAGGCCAGGGTATTAACATATCACCCAAAGTATCATATGCAGGGGCTTGCTGCAAATCAAAAAGCTTTTGTAAAGCTATATATTTCTTGTAAGCCTTAGTGATAGTCGCGACATGCATCTCCAGGTACATATTGTTTTTATGTCCTGGGGAATGTCCGTGTTATTGAATTTTTGTATATTGTTATATATTTCATTGTACAGTCCGTGACTAAGGCGTTGTGAGTCCGACTCGTAATTACAACATACTGCGATCAAAACCCACTGCTGGCTGCATGGGTTTTTATCATGGTATCGTGCGTCGCAGTCCACACAGTCCATAATGGGTACCTAGATGGCTGTCACGGGGAAGTAAAGACAGCCGTCGTAATGCTAACCACCTGGTGCAGATGGTCTGTCAAAATATAGGCGCTCTTCCCATATACCCGATACACCCACAAACGTAAAAAGGAATCTTTACTATTTTTCACTTTTAATTAAATATTTTGTAAACTTTTTTGCAAATATTTGATTAATAAATTAAAAGTTACTTAGTGATCAGTTAAGTGGGGTGGAATTTTGCTGGAAATAGGATCATAACCCATTTATAGTGTTTCTAGGTACTTTAGAGTCAAATTTTCAAAATGCCTTCTACACCAATAAAACCAGCACAGTTAGATAGCTGTAAACAATCTCTTTCCAACGGTACCTTATTTAGGCTTGAATGTCATTTCTTAGCTGAGATATGTAGGTTTTTGTGATGAGATGTAGAAAGCAGCTGCTAAAACTTGCCTCCCAGAAACAAGAGGTTTTCTTTGCGCAACCAAACTGTGCAACTTTCATTTTGGCTTTGTTTACATTGGACTGTCATGGACAAGATGGCAGCCAATGAGACACAGCCACTGGCTGAGCCAGCGATTGCCTGAAAAATGTCACTGTACATCTACCTAGCCACGGTTCAGGAAGAAATTTTATACACAAATGTAAAAATTCAATTATAACTAGCACTACCAGTAACAGTTAAAGCCTAAAGCCATCCTTGAATAACGCTATTTTCAATCAAACTGATGTAACAGAAAAACAGAGGACGTCCGGCTGTCGTAGACATGGGCTGTTAATCGGGTTCCTTCCCACTGTTTTCAGCTATTTAGAGTGGGTGAAAATCACACCAATCTCAGAATTTCATGAGAGATTAGGACCCATCCCGAAACCCCAGCTGACATTTCCGAAGCAAGTTTCGAACGGTTTCCGTGGTAACGGAAATTGCCAAAATATCGCAAATTTCCGGGCACCGTAGTCGCTAGTGTTTCTGGGGCTAAAAGAATGTATCGGTGAAACCATGTTTGGTTGTAAAGGATCACTTTTATTGCAGACATGTATCTCCTTTAGTGTTACTTTTGTGCAAACCGTCCTGGGTGAATCTCTAGCATTTTTTATCTTTTGCACAAGCAAGTTTATACAGAAGCTTAGAGACTTTTCATGTCCATTAGAAACTAGTATAAATTTGTAATACACATTCTGTTTCCATAATGAGAATAGAATAAATATTAAACTTACAACAAATTATTTTACTATAAGACTATAATAAAACACACTCACGAGGCACTAAATTGCAGCCTACCTGTAAACCAAAGTAGAGATTTTATATTTATATTAACGCAGTTCACGCTGAGCCTTACTTATTTAGGTCACAATGGGTTTTTTTTTTAATGCATGGCTCATTCTGGGTAGTATCATTTGAAGAAAAATGTTTCAGAATCTGACTTAGTGGCTGTACAATTAAGAGACCCATTGTAATGCAGAGATTAGAAATGAAAAGCATGTGTTGTGTGGTATTGTTCTAAACAAAGATTGATGAAATTATCCAGATATCACCCATTGATAACATGCTCAGAGGCCTTGTTGCGTGGGTAGTATAGTGAAGTCAAACCACCAACACAGCGTAGCATGCCCTTAGGAACACAGAAGTACATCATCATCTCCATCCACATTTTTAAAAGTCAGTCCCAAGAGAGAAAGAAGGTAGACAATCTTTCTATTGACTGGATACCGATACAGCTCTCTGATAATACCTTTGCTGGCCGAACAACCTTCAGGAACACTGAGCTATCAATGAAGGCTACAGGCACGCACACACTTTTGTCTCCTCAGATTCCATTATAGGTTCTAGGACCCCTCAAGTGTATTTTTTCTGAACATAAGACGCCCCCCCCCCTCCCCACAGATGTCAACTTCTATCTAGTAGCAGTGTGATATTACATATTGATATATTTCAATTCATGATTGGCATTGCTTGAAGTCGAGGATTAGTAGAAATAGGGGACAGACAAGTTACACATGTTTTGTATTCCATATTTTTTAGTCCTTATCTATAATTTGTTAGTGTTTATTTGGGTCTCGTCCTTTAGATATCAGGTCTTTTTTGCTCCTGCTGCCTGATACACTTCTATTAAAAGTTTTTAAACATGCAAATTACTGGTTTTGCATTGCGTCAATGTAACTCATACTATACGAAGCAGCTGACCATAATTGAGCCCAGAGATACCCTTTTACTTTTTCCGCAAAAGGCATTACTACATCTGACTTTAAAGATTGTTGGTAGTCTCACATTTTCTGTCAGTTTTATTCCGATCCAGAGACTTAAGTGTTTACCTCTGAATTAACTTTGTATGTGCATGTGTGTGATGAAATATTTTTCCTCTTGCAGAGCCATGAACCCTCAACAGACAGAACCCGATCCAGATACCATCAAGATGTTTGTGGGCCAGATCCCTCGAAACTGGGATGAAAATGATCTTAAGAACATGTTTGAGGAATTTGGGCCCATCCACAGCATGAACATTTTAAGGGATAAAGCTACCGGCCAGAGCAAAGGTTAGTTGCATCACATAACCTAGCCAAATATTTTGTTGGAAATATATGTATATAATTATATATATATATTTTATATTTTTTATATATATATATATATATATTTATATATTATATATATATATATAATGTAGTGCAAGGAAGAATATTTAACAGACAGGATGTTTCCGTATTATTTGTATTACCTGTTTTACACCATGCTTAAATTGAAGACCTAGTTTTAAAAAAGTGCCGTAAACAATAAAGAATTTTTTGAAAAAGACACTACCATAAATTTCTTGACCTGGAGCCTGCTTTCATTGCAAGTCGGCAAACCTTGCAATATTGCAGTCAAGGTCAACGCAGCCTTAAACGGGTACCAGAAATTATATAAGGCCGGCATGTCACATCACCCACAGAGGTCAATTAGCCTGTAAAAAAAAAAGTTGTGTGGAAAAAATGGTATTGAGGAGGTGAAACCTAACAGACAATGGACACTGATGTAGTGTCAGGGGGTGCTAAATTATGTTTCATACACCATTTTTTTTTTTTTCAATATTGTGTTTCCCAGAATAAAGCAGCAAAATTATAGTCCTTGTTTATGGGGTTTTAAACATGCTTCTGGCTATGAAAATGTAATTTTCGGTACATATTTATTTACAGGGTGCTGCTTCGTAACATTCTTCACTCGTAAAGCGGCACTGGATGCACAGAATGCTTTGCACAACATTAAAACGCTGCCAACGGTAAGTTACATTTTGTATGTGCATTGTTATTTTAAAAAAAAGCATTTGGTCACTTATGTTGTAAATTTATAATTGATCAGGCCTGTTTTGTCCACAGTGAAGGTTAGCTGTAGATAGAGCGTCCACTGCTGCCGTTAAGATTTTACGTAACATTGCCTGTCTCATAACCATACTTGTGTGTAAAAAAGGCAATTAAAAACACATTGTTAATATTAGGAAAACGATATTACTAAGTTCTAAAGGGGATGTTGTAAGTCATTAAATGTTGAGTTGTGATTATTATCAAATGTCTGGGGGTTTTTTTCAACCGTAATTTAGCATTAGATAGATGAATTATAGAAATGAGACATATAAAAGATAGAGCTGCATAACTTAAACTTAAAAGAAGGTAAACATATGACTGCATATATGAAAATATGCTTTATGCAGTTAAAACTGAAGAGGCAAGTGTCTAGTCAGTGTGTCAATGCTGATCAGTGTTATTTTACTGATTGCTACAAGAGATCTAATTGTATGTATATATTTTTTAGATGCATCATCCCATCCAGATGAAGCCAGCTGATAGTGAGAAGAAAGGCGGGGCTTATGGTAAGCACATTGATTTGTAATATTCTTTGATTCAAATATTGATAATTACTTTTGTCTTCTCACTGTGGTAGTTGCCTTAAAGTGTCTCCGCATTTCTGTTACACAGTTATATTGTTCCTGTTTTGTTGATAGACAAGTTCGCTGTTCCATTGGCAGTGCTCTCAATGTCAGGAGTTAAATACCTTTTCAGCGATTCTGTCATTTTCTTTTTGTAACCCTGGAGTGTTCCGTTTTACTTTAATCTCATTGTGATGCTCACTTATTTTCAACAATATCCATTTATTGTGCACAAAGATTAATTTTTTTTCTGAGCATTTACTGGCTGTATACTCTGTTGAGGGTTCTGGTTATTTGTCTACTTCTGGACTTCATTTTCTTTCTTCAGAATTGTTTTAGTTTTGCATGTACATGTATTTTACAGTATATGGCTGGTTCAGACTGCTGGTTCCTCGCCTTAGGTAGATGCACTACAACTTTAAAGGAAACAGGAAAAATTAAGTTGAATTTTTAAGCTTGCTGGGAAGGGGGGGGGGGGGTGCAGTGGGTCTCTTCTTTCACACCCCTTACAAACTATTATGCATTCTTTTATAGATTAGCTGTGGGTATATTTGCGTTTGTCTATTTTTCACAGGAGAAGATAGAAAGCTTTTCATTGGCATGCTGTCCAAGAAGTTCAGCGAAAACGATGTGAGAATGATGTTTGCGCCTTTTGGAACCATAGAGGAATGTACAGTTCTGAGGGATCATACTGGCACTGCAAGCAAGGGTAGGTTCAATAGTATACCTGCTTATTTAGCGTGTTTAAACACGTGTAGTGTTGCCTTGCTTTATCAAATCCTCACAAGTATTTATCCAATGGTGGCCACCACATGTAGACTATACAGTGGGGATGACAAATTACTGAGGGTGTGCAGTCCACTGAAGCACTGGCCTGGGCCAGTATTATAATGTAGGTCAAAGAGTCTTGAGCGTATGGCTAGTGTAGCCACCACCATGTTACCCAGCTGTAAACTCCAGCGGGAAGTTCTGGTTGTTTGTCTACCTGTAGACTTTAGTCTTGTTCCAGAACCTAAGTGTTGCATGCACATCCATTTCACAGATCTGACTTTTGATGTGGACTGATGGTTCCTTCTCTCTTAGGCAGATGCAGTAGGTATTATTCTTTGGCTATCCTCTGAATAACAGTTCAAAATCATCGAGGCCGAAAATATACCCTAACAGGACCCCTGAAAGTATCTTCCACGCCGCGTGGAGCGGGGCTTAACTAGATGGCTAGGACTCACAAGCAGCAGCTACTGCAGCTTATTTATTTTATTACATTTTGAGTTTAGCCCCACTTCACGCCTCATGTGGCGGCGTAGGAGATACTCTCGCGGTGGCAGAAGTCAGCAATTTACATGTAACTGAGGCCCTGTTAGGGTATATTTTCAGCCTGGATAATTTGGGACCTTTATTCAGAGGATTGCCTATTCTTTTATGCCCTAGAACCCACACAGGCAAACTACAAAGTGTATAGGCTAGGAATTTGTGCATGTCACTAAACGGCATTACAGTTAATAAAACTTGCATCTTCCCCCTGCTTGCAAGCTCAGCGTTTTAATGACATAGCCAGCCCTATTATGTTTAATTACTTACACATTGCTTGTCATTAGAAATAACTAGAACCCACACAGAGAAATTGTGAATCATGTGTCTAATCTATGTCACTGAGGTGTCTTATGTCAGATTTTCTTGTGCTCTTTCAAGATTATAATTGACTTGCTTGTTTCTTATTTTAGGCTGTGCATTTGTAACGTTTGCTTCAAGACAGAATGCACAAAATGCAATTAAGAGCATGCATCATTCCCAGACAATGGAAGTAAGTGAAAATTTTGGAAAATGTTAAGATATATAAGAAAATTACAGAAATGCAGTAATTGTTAAAGCTCTCATCTGCGGTAATAGATGCAGAAGAGAATAGAGATGGTTCTTATGTCTTATTACAATTTATCAGGCTATTCAATGGCCTCAGGTTACCTAGAGATATGTTAGCACCCTAGATCTTTTTGTCTTTATGTGCAGGTGTATCTGTCTATTGGATTTTATCTTTCTTCCTAATCTGTCTGCTGTGTGTCGTTCAACCTATCTTTCCGTGTGTACATTTTCTAGTCTGTAGAGATAGCTCTAGTCAGTTATTATTATTAAAGATATATTTTTTTATTGGTTTAATGTTTCACATTTCTCATGACATTTGACCTGGTATTGTTTTCTCAGGGCTGTTCCTCACCTTTGGTAGTGAAGTTTGCTGATACTCAGAAAGAAAAAGAACAGCGCAAAGCTCAACAGGTTACCCAGACTTCATGGAATCCAACCAGCTTTGGAGGGCTAGGGCCTCAGTACCTTGCAGTAAGCATCAATTATTTTTCGTACCTTTATATGTTTTTACTTAGGGAACTGTGTTGATACACTAACAACGACCATTATAATTGGTCTAACATTGTTATTCTCTTAAATCCTGACTGCTGAAATGATGTTACGCTGTAAGAAAATAAGAGTGCTAGTATTTTATATTCCACAACTAGAATTTAACAGCACTAGGTTTTGTCCCATCTTGCTGCCTCAGCAGAAGAGCTAACCTACTCCTATTGAGAGAGCCGAGAAAAGTCATGCTTCATAGTTCAGAACCACATTCTGTGAATTCTTTTGACCTTGACCACGGACACAGCTCACTACACAATGTTACAGCTGTTCCTTAGCAGAACTGCATTATTTACCTTCATGTTGTTGCTGCCTCATTCACTGCTACGGTGGAAATATATGCTTTTCTTTTTCTGTTTACAGCAGTTGTTGCAGCAGGTCACCGGGGGGAACCAGGGAGGTTTTGGCAGTCAACAAAGTGAGTGTGAACTAGGTGCATACACATTTTTCTTCATTCTCATTAGATAAGTTAGTTAGACTTAATGAACTATTTAATAATAGTTGTCCCTTCTAGGATACTGGAGAAACAACCCTGACGTTATTTTAGTAATTTTATGCTCAGTACTATTGCCCAAAAAAAACACAAAGCGACCTGTTGCCAAATAAACTGCTGCTGGAATCAGAAATAGAAACTTTTTTGTGCAAAAACTAAACTACAGACAAAATGTATGTAAATCAGCAAGTATGTTGCATTACCTTTTTTTTTTTTTTCAGCTTAGTAAGCTTGTTTGTCAAGGACATCACCAGTAGAGCCACATTTATTACCCCTTTCCAACCAGAGGCTCTAAAAAGGTGTGGACAACTTTGTTGAAAACAGTTGCCTACTTTACATTTTTATTGTAGTGTTGTTTAATTAGTTCAGTACTTAATTAGTTAACAACCACTTAAATTTAGGTTGGATGTCAGATGGCTGTTTTTGTGTAGCATTGCATTAGTTTGTGTGTGTGTGTATGTATATATATATATATATATATATATATATATCGACAATTTATGGGTTTTTCACCATATCCAGGTTGAAAATTAGTGTTCTTTTTGGGGCTGATTATCATAAGAATAAGAAGAAACTTCACAGGGGAGCATGCACTTCAGGAGTTTATCTATATACAGTAAAATTGTCCCTCGTCGACAGTTGTATTGGCCATTTATCCACCTAGACAATTTCAGAAGGTGGGCTGAGCTGGGTCATGGATCGCTGACTTGGGACATCTGCTGCACTCAACGGACTTACGGACAAGACGAAATGGTGCTTTGCAGCAGGTATTGTGAGGTTTGGTGCTATTTATTGTTGCTGAGGTAGTAAATTAGCCGCCTACCTTCACGACAAAAGTGACAAGTGAATGGTTGGTTTGTCGGGCAGACTTTAACAATCTCTTCGCCTTAGATAGCGAGAGAAAAAAAAAGCGCTTCCTAACTATGGTGGCCTGTTTACAAGTCGCATAGTTAATGGCAGTTTTTGCACCTGTAAAAACTCCTAATTGTGTGTTCAGTATATTCTCCAGCACCAAAAGTAGCTGCCCTAGAGTTGGTCATGTTTTCAGATGTAATGGGAGAGGAAGGTATAATGAATGCACCTTTTGTTGCGGGCATGTCTCCATAGTAGAAGTTGGCAGCAGTGTATGATAGGCATTGTGTGTGCTCTATGGCAACAGATAGCTACAATATGCATCATTTTCTTTCCAGGCAACATGGGTCTCAACATGCAGCAGTTGCTCGCTGCTGCCGCTGCAGCTGCTGGCAGTAACCCAGGTATTGTGCTTTCTGTGTTTTCATGTTGGTGGTCCATCTGATGTGTCATGTTTACTAAGTGTCACTAATGTGTCTAGTCTCCACTGGTAGACTCTGAAACAAATTTTAGGTCATCTCCCCCATCTTTTGCTTCAGTCTGTTTCCTGACAGCTTGTTATTTTTCATGTTGAGGTTTTAGCATAAATAACTGTTCCTTATTTTCGTTTACAACTTTATTTTCTATCATTTTATAATACTGCTGTCTGTCTGCCCAGTCCTTTCCCCCTTTTAATTGTTTATTTTTCCCGTATACTGCTTTACCTTCATAACCCAGCCTAGCCACCTGCATCTAATGCTGTCATTGCTGACTGGCTGTCCAGTTCCCTTTTCTGGTAGTTGTGTGTGTGCATAACTTGGTGCTGAGGATCTGTCTGGTTTCTTTGACTTTTGGTTTCTTTGATTTGTATACAAGGGTTTAATTTCTACCTTAAGTAAGGTGAAAATGTTTTTCAACTATTTGTGTGTGTATCGCTTTGTTTTATATATAAAAAGCAACTGGTATGCAAGTTGACAGCTTTACTGAGACTGATTCAGACCCCATCATTGGCATTTTCATCAGATGAGTTAAACTCTTAAAGTTTGTAATTGTTAGTTGTCTGAGAAAGACGTACCAGAAAGGAAATCAACCACTCATTCCAGTGTTGTTTGGCATATAATGCGTGAAATCCTAACAGGTAACAATATACACCAAGTATCTGATACAAGACTAGCTTCTTTTTGTTACGTTTCTTCTTCGTTAGCAATTGTTCCATATAGATGTTTGGTTGGCTTTTTTAAAGGTCATATAATTTGTCTATTCAAAGTGTCATTTTGCTACTATAGGTCCTCATACAATTGTCACAATAGTCTCAGTACTATTAAAAAGGGAATCTTGCTTCTCCCAGTTTCCAATCAACCAACTGTTTAATTTAGTAGCCTAATAAATAGGAGTAACAACTTCATAACTTCCTAAAGTTGTATATGGCATGCAATGGGGGGGGGGGGGGGGGGGGGGGGGGGGGTTAGTAGGTGTTTGCAAGTAAGTGTATTCTCTGTTGAATGTCAGCGACAAAGTAAAACAAAACATCACATTACACAGTGAACCAACTCGTTTAATTTTGCGGCAGCTCTCCTTGCGGCATTGGCCAGTTTGGGGAACTTGGCAAGCAGTATTGGCGGCCAGCAAGGCATGAACGCTGGTGGCACTAACCAAGGTGGGGGCAGCTCTGTGTGTTTCCTGCTCATATCTCACTTCCCCAATCTGTTTGTTGCATTAAGAGTTGCTTTTTTTTATCGCTGCTTTTTTGTTTCTGCTTGGCCAGGCTGTGTTTTGTTTGGTTTTGGTTTTTCTTTTATGCTTATGTTAAGCAAACAAATGGCAGTTGCACTTTTTAGTGTATTTCAAAGGTGAAATTAGTGGTAGCATAAGTTCGGGGATATCATTTTTTTTGGGTACTGTAGTCTAGGAACTTGTGAATGTACGAAGTTATTAGTTATTTTAGCTGAACAGCTTTATGTTGTACAGTGTTCCTTATTAGTATATATTTTATACAGATCTATTTTTAGAAGCTAAAGACTTGGCTTTTCTAACACACACAATGTAGCATTATATTTTAACATTGGGGGAGAGCTTTTAGAGGAAATATATGAGGAAATCTAGTTCAAATCCTATTTTTGTTTGTGTGCATTTTCCCCGCATCAACAAATACATGCAATTCACAATCTATTGTTGAAGATAAAAGTGCCCAAAAACTACACAGAAAAGACTCAAGTCTTGCACCTTTTTTTTTTTCATTTGCACGCTTTCCTTTCGTTTTTGCACTTCTAAAGCCTTATAATTTTCATTCACATTGATGGTCTGAAATCTACTCACAAATTGCTGTTCTTCAGCACATATTTTATCCATATACAAGGCAACTAAAAATGATGGTACATGCTACCCCAATTTTAACAAAAAAATAATGCACCAACAAATGTTTATCACATCCCAACTAGATGGATATCTGGAGGTGGCCCTATGAATTAGAGCTTTTTTGAATACAGTGTCCCTAATAGAGCTAAAGGTATGACACAAGTTGGTGCTTTAAATCTGTGTAATAAGACTCAGTTAGTCCTATAGTTGGATAATCCTTTTTATGTGGTTTATTTGATTTTATTGCTTGGGTCCTGTAGCAGTAGTTGCTGCACGTAAAAATACACAGAGGGAAGTGGAATGTGTGTTTTAAAAGTTCAATATTTTAGTGCTTGTATGGAACTAGCAGGTGGTTATTGTTATAAAAGTAAATTTTATGTCATGAACATTAAAACCTAAGCGAACCACTAGCATTATCATGAATCCCCCTAGTTGTGTGTGTGGGTATAGCTAATGGTCTTTGTTGGCTGTTGTTATACTTTGCAAGCTGCTTTATGTTATGTTGATTTTTTCCCATGTATTGTTCAAGCTTTTGTGTGTGTGTTCCTTTGTTTCCATTTCATGCACTCAACCTATTCATGTTAGTTATTTTATTTTATTTAGGAATATTATTTCATGAATCTTCTGACTTCCATTGCAATTGTCAGTTTTCAGTTAATTTAAAAAAAAAAACTGGTTAGAGCTGTGCTAAAGATTGTGCATCTAAATGAGACCAGGCTTTCTTTAAAAGAAAAACTTTCGCATGTTGCACTAAAGGCACGTCCTGTGCATTTGCATTCACCTCTGATTTTTAAATAGCCGCCACTCTATTTCTTTTAAGTCGGAAAGCTTTCACCAGTGCCGATTTAGCTCTGTATTAAGTTCAAATTTAAAATGTTCGTCCTTAACCGCACCGGACTGCTGCTTTCACCTGGCTGGTCTGGCCATTGCAGGTTGCCTGATAACTTTAGAGATTGCAAGGGAATCTTGGATCTGCCTTATTATTGTCCAAATGTAGATATGTATATATAACATATTTGGTGTATGTATATTTTGATGCCACCGATTTGCTTGTTTTAATCTTATTTATAGTATGTTAGCATTGCAAGTCAGCTTCCACTAACTTTTGACTATTACTTTTGCAGGTGCCTTAGGGAACTTTGGTCAGATGGGTGCTGGTGGAAATGCAGGTATTGACATGCACTGTAAGCGTTAACATTTTTTTATTCTTCAACTTTGGAAATTTTATGTAGCAATTTTGTGGGAAGTTACAATTTTGAATCATTGATGTTTGAGCTTGTGTATTCAATTCATATAGTCTACCTAAAGAAACCTTTTAAGTACTACTTGCACGTTGATCAAATCTGCTTAGAAACACAGTCATGGAATATGTGATAGCAGACAGGGGCAGGTGTTAGTCAGCAAATGATTTGGATTTTAGTAAGGACTAAGTTTGCAAAACTAGGACTTTTTTTGATAGACCATCTAAGGTGGGGTTGACCCGGTAGCTAGATTCTGTTTGACAAACACATTTGCTCATGATGTATGTGAATTGCTTCTATCTTAATCTTGCAGATATTGTGAATTTCTTTATTATTTTTGCATAGTTTTTGACTGTTTGTATCTGAAACTATTGTATTGTTCCATTCTTGACCTGTTTATATGGATGTTTTTGTTTACAGGTAACATGGGTGGTGCTGGTGGCTTAGGTGCCCTGGGAGGCAACATGAATGGATTTGGTTCCAACAATTCTAACAGCTTGGATGCCTTGACTCAAGCCTATTCAGGAATCCAGCAGTATGCTGGTAAATATTGTTTATGAAGTTTTAAGAACACTTTGTTGGAGAGGTCTTTGAATATCATTTACATGTGATAAGCACACCTGGCAATGCTTTATTGGCTGCAACGATAAACATTTGCACATTTACTGCATTTTTTTGTACAGGGCATCTGCTAAACATTTTAACATAATTCCTAAAGATGTCTTGTCCTTCAATATACTATCGCACCCCATGTCCCTTTTCTTCCCCATGGGGCCTAGGTGCCAAGACATTCTATAGTATTCTTATTTTTTTCTCATTGTGAATCCTGTACTAAGTTAAGGGTTGAGATTGATTACCCCATGCACAGGGTATTTATTTACATCTTTGGATTAAAAAAAAAGAATCCTTTTCCACGCCAGCAGCCTCTACTTCTCGGGACTGCACCCGGTACCCACTCAAGGCTGGGTCAACCTAAGAGCCAAGATCATTTTTTAAAGTCTCCTGCTCTGCCAGGGAGCAAGCCCACGACTTATCGATCCGCAGCGAGCGTCTAGCCGCTCCCATCTTCAGATAATCATAGAAGAAGAAAAAAATGATCCCCCTGCAAAATGCAGTCAGCTACGGAGAGCTATGAAAGAAAGTAGATGGTTGGTTACAAGTCAGTAAGTAGAACAAGAAAATATAAGTAAAGGCCTTAAACGCATCGAGCATACAGTGTACGTGACCACTTTGAACTTCCTAGAAATATAAAGGGTGAAAGAGTGAGATGTTCTTTGGACACACATTAACTTTTTGCTTTCTGTATCTAGCATCTTTCCCCAATGCCTTCAATCAGGCAGCTCAGATGCAGCAAGCTGCCAACAGCACTGTTGGGTCTAAACAACAGGAAGGTATGATCACTGGTAATATTATTTTTGCACACTTCCTTATAAGTAAGCGGTAATTTGCATTAGTAGTTTATTTATAGATAGTGAAGTGGTGTCGTCAGAAAACTTGTGTAAATGGAGGATGCTTCGGCCACCACTGAAGTTGGTTTGATATTCACGTGTGCATTGGAACTGAAGCACTGTTTTGTATTTACTTAGCTGAATGTGCAGCAAAAGTTTCTATATTTGGTGCATTTAGTAAAGTGTGAATATGTGTTTTATGAATATTATTGTCCTAATTAGAATTTATGTATAATTTGAATTGTTTTTACATTTGTTTCCATTACTGGCGATCTCTGTTAAGGAACAATGTTAAGGGAGCTTGATAAGCCTTATCTATCCACCTAAAAACCAGAATATGTTAACACCTTAATTTACCACCCATCTTCATGTTCTTTGCAGAGCATCCTCTCACCACAGAGATCCAGTTTTCTTTGTACCTCAAACCTCACCTTTTCCCTAAGAACTGTACCTCTCTTTCCATATGTGCGTTCTCCAAATCATATTGTCAAAAATGGCATGAGTATTTAATTTTTAGAGGACAAATCTCATTCTGACATGGTTTTTCATTTTCCACTGATGTTTATGTGCTGGCTCGCCATTGTTAATATTAGTAATTGTAGTATTAGTTAGGTTTACTGTGATTTAATTGAAAGACAACCATTGTTTACCGTGACAGTCAGCTGTCTGTTTATGTTTGTTGGTGTTGTTGGTCCTGCAGGACCAGATGGTGCCAATCTGTTCATCTACCACCTGCCTCAGGAGTTTGGGGATGCAGACCTCATGCAGATGTTTATGCCTTTTGGTAACATTATCTCAGCTAAAGTGTTCATTGATAAACAGACCAATCTGAGCAAATGCTTTGGTGAGTTAATTTGTGTGTTGAACGTGAGTATATAAAATGTCTTTTTCACACATTTAGGACAGGATATTATTTCTCATTCAAATAATAATAATCAAATATAAACTTGGTGCTAAATTTGCTCTATAGCCTCAATGTTAAAGTGGAAATATATTCCACCTAATGCTCCTCTGTTTGTAGCTCCCTCTCCAAAAAGATATTTAATTGAAATACATCCCACATTGTAGGGGGGTCCTATTGTTTCTCGTCATAATGCTTTAAAAAAATTAGAGACTAGCTGATAAATTATGCCACACATTTGGAGACCTAATATCCGATTTTAGCAAGAGTGATCATTAATAAGTGTTTCATATTGTCTAGCTTGCATGGGGCATTTATTTTGTGGGCCTTTCTTGGCACACATTTGTATTTATATATCAGAGGGGCATATACAAAGCATGCTCAGAATGCTGCAGTGCACTAAATTATTCTAATTATTCTTCTATAAAGACAGCACTGCATTTAATGTTCTTACATAGTCATCACTGAGTATGCTACCAGTTAATGCGAAAGGACTGTTTATAAAGCTAGTTAAAAATGTGATATGGTTTGAGTCACAGAGATAGAAGGGCGCTTATTGTGAATTATATGATGTTCCGTTTATGAACACCCCTATCTGTTGGTCCTAGCTTCTAAGTAGTTGCCTGCCTATAACTGATTAGTGATTTTTAACTGTCAGGATTCCTCCCTCCCCCCCCCCCCCCCCCCCCCCCCCCCAATGGGTGTCCACTCAGCATGCTTAGCACGTTTCAAGTGCGTGTTGTTTTACCCCCGAGAACGAGTTTTATATACAGACTCAAAAGGTTTTAATTGGGATGCTCATAACTGCAACACCAGCTTCAGTTAACTGATTTCCTTAAAACTCTTGTCTCTCACACTCATCTTTTGTGTCCATTAAATGGGCTATGTATATATAATGTTGACAAATAATAATGTTCAATGTTTTCTTAAAGGCTTTGTGAGCTATGACAATCCCCTGGCTGCTCAGGGGGCCATTCAGTCCATGAATGGCTTCCAGATCGGCATGAAGCGACTCAAGGTGCAGCTCAAGCGACCAAAGAATGACAGCAAGCCTTATTAGGTACACAACAGTTTGCGGGCAGGACAACAGAAGGAAAGGTGAGCATTTGTTGAGGGCTTAACTTCAGATTTGTGAGTTCCAATCATGGGCACAGTTTATATAGAGTGGACTCATGGGAGTCAACTCATTGGTTATTTCCTTCCATGTCTGAGAGCATCTGGAAGGCAAGAAGCAACCAACTGCACAAAGAAAAACAGATGTACACGCAAAACTAAGGCCCTGGAACGCCGTCAGATGGACGAACAAATAGGGCTCTCTGCTGAAGCTTACAGCCGGTAAACAAAGATAATGATATATGTTACTAAAGATATAAGAAACATGACATGAATTTCTACCACGGTCACATAGTCAGTACACTGCACCTCACCATGCTGCATAGTAGTTTAAATGATTTAAGAGGAGACTGGTTGAAGAGAGTCATGGATGACTTGTAAGCTGAAGATACCATCGAGCGATGGCCTCAGTCAAGCAGACGCATAGGAGACAGGGATGGATTGACATGAACACCCACAGCAGCAGTTTGCATCAGGTTATTATTACTTTAGGAAGAATATGTAGAGTAGAGGCTAAATTGTGTAGTAGATCTGGTTGGGGATTTTTAGTTAGAATGAATTGTGGCCGAACAAAATGCTTTTTAAAGCTAGTGTCAAGCATAATGATAGAAGTAGAGGCAATTACAGCAGCTTTGAGTCTGATAGCAGAAAGTTACCAGAGGAATTGTCTGAAACCACTGACCCTTATGGAATTGTGACAGATTGCATATCCGCAGATAATAGTTTAAGGGTGATGACCTTTTATATCCATTGTTTCTGTTTTAGCCTGATGTGATAAAGCATGCCAAGCAATATATTTGGGCTATGTTGATGTTGCATTTTGAAAGAAAAACAAATCTGATGTGGTTCTGATAACCATTTATTAACATTTTTTTTTAACATTTAACATTTTGCACTGGGTTGCGTTTGAACGAGTAAAACAGCACATGAAGCAAACACAACAAGAGTCCAGTGTTGAATGTTTCAAGCCCCTTTTCACTCTTCTAACACACTTTGTGGGCAAGCCAGCCGGAACTGAAAGAAGATATAGCCAGGATTTGGAACTGGTTAGGGCTCCCTAGCCCACAGAGACGAGCTATACCATGTGTGAGAATAGATATACTTGTCAGTCTTTTTTTTTAAAACTATGCATGTTGTATGATAATCGATGTCACCATCCTCCATGCAGCCGCCAATCTCTACTTGTCCCCATGAGGGAGTTATAATATCTCTTGAACTCCCTCAATATGCATAACTAGTCATGTATATATGTGTGCCGTCATAAACAGTAAACTTAACTCAGGGAAAATCAGCATTGCATAATAATGTTTGTATGTTTAAATATGTGTTTGCACATGTATTTGATTCGTTTTTCTTTTTCTCTCTATGTAGAGGACACATTGGCGTCTGGCGTGACATGGCGTGTGTCTACTGTCCCTGTGGCGTCATCGTGCGTCCAAACTACGTCCCCGTCGTCGTGCATTTGTTTTTTCTTCATTGTCCACTTGTCCAGCAAGCAGTACTCGTCGATCGGTTTGTCAACGTTAAAACTTTTTTTTTTCAAATGTTTATATTTTGGCTGTTTGTTGTTCTTCCTGTAGTTTTCTAGTGTGCCCCATGCAGAGGTACAACTTGTGCTTTTAGTTTGTTTCTCAATAAAAGAATGTTTACCTTTATTTAGTTTTTCCATTGCCTTTAGTTTTATGTGTTTGTGTTAGTACAGATGGAATCTCTTTCCACTACATTATGTTAGCTGACAAAACAATCAGGATTCAGTATAATTTTGTCAACTCATTTAACCCTCCTTAAAGCAAAGTGACTGTATATAGTTTTCGTGTACCTTGATATATGTTTGGAATTAACCATCTTTAAAGAACTGTACATATTCCCGGACAAAGTATTAGTATTTGAATATTTTTGTACTTTTTCTAATTGTAGAACAAAGTACATAGTGTTTTGGATTTTAATATTTTAACAGGCTATTTGAAACAGACAGGTCAGTCATTTAAAGTAAATTTGCAAGTCCCAAATATACCGTGTTTCATAATTTTCCCCCTGCCCTAAAGTAAATCCAGTTGCTGACTGTAAAGCCATGATTTTTTTGCTGTTTTTGTTTGGGAGAATTATCCACTTTGCATTTTGAAATTCAATATTTACTGTGCTTTCATGGTTCTTAATTTAAATCTGACCTAAATTGAAAATAAAAACTGGTGTTAACATCTGTGGTGTGTTTTTTGTTCTGTGCTGCAGTCTTGTTCTTTGACAGGAGTAATTTGTGTTTGTATTAATTTTGTTATATATATGTAGTATTAGAGACTTATCTTCCTTGCGTCATTGTATCCCCCATTTACTGCCTACTATTGTGTAGATCTTGCTTCATGGGCCGTATTCTCATTTTTTTTTACCCTCCTACCTACACACGCCTGGAATTAAGATTTCATTTGTTTCATGTCCGCCCATTTTCCTATCCAAATAGTTGGATTTATATATAATGCTGTCCTTTGTGTTTGTCAGTTGTGCTTGGAGGACCAAAAAAAATTGTAGCCTTGGCTTGATATTTGAAAATTACAGAATAGTTAGTTGGTCTAAGAATCTGTGAAAGTTCATTGTTGGCCATTAAATTCCCCTTTGCAGTCAGCACACGTTGCCAGTGAAAACAGTTCACCGGTTATCATACCTTAATGTTTTTAACGCTGAAACTGAGGGACAGAATGATTATCAAATTAAAGTTTGACAGTTAAATTTTGCTTTGTATTTTGTTTGCCGTTTGGTTCAGAGGTTTATAAAATAAAGAACAAATGCTTTAGCCACCACTGAATTTGTTTTATTATTTTTAAAAATACATGAGATAATTTTCTTGACCTCTCATCACATCTGTCACCTGCTACACTCTCATATACCACAGCCTGTAACAGGAAGAAAAATTCATGTATTATTTATTAAGCATAAGCATAAGTGCTACTAGAAAAATCATTTTCAATTTGAACAGCCTCATTTCCCTGATGTGCCCTATGCACTGGCTGCCAATGGCATATAAACATTGAAAGTGAAACAATATGGGAAATGAGCCTTCAAATGTTTGAGTATGCTGTATTTTCTTCTCATCCTGTGAGGTATATTTCTTTTCTGAAAATTGTGTTGTGTCTGGGTATTATTTCTGGTCTCAAAGCTTGGATAACCAGTGCCCTGCCCTGTAAAAGTTGTATGCAGGGAAAGATGCCATCCAGTAAAAATAGTTGGCGGTGCATGTACACCACTGCTCTGAGGTAGACAGTGGCCAGCCCTGCAGTTTTCTTGACTGGCTCAGGCAACATAGAAATTGCTATGCGGACCACAGCCATACAGTTCAACTGGAATTCCGGTTTCAGGGATGTGGGCTGATGCTCACCAGTGTTACCAAGTAGATTTGTACATAAATTATTTTTTTTTTTGCATTTACCAGCTGTAAACTCTGTTGGAAAGTTTTGGTTGTTTATCCACTTTTGGACTGCAGTCCTGTTTCAGAACCTGAGTGTTGTGTGTGCATCCATGCCTCTCAGGCAGCTGACTTCAAAGGAAGCTCCTAATTAGTCTTACATCATCCTTTTGGGTAGGCAGCGAGTTATTCTTGTTTTCCCTACAATAGGGCTGTCACTGGGCACTGCCTGAGAAAAAAAAATGGGGTATCCCCAGTAGAGCAGTAATATGGAAAACCAAAGGATGATAGTTTCCAAAAGAAACCCTAAAACAAATGCGGGACTGCAATTACATATACTGAAGGCACTGAACGCAATGAGGAATAGAATGCGAGTCAAATTGCACATCGGCAGTTGTAGGATGTATGTCCTTGCCAATGGGGGAGGGATCTCTGCAATCGTCTTCAACAGCATAACTTGTATCCGTGTGACCCCCTGACATGAAAGGGCTGTCAAGAATTGTCATGTTGTCTTGTCTCCACTGATCTTTTAAGTGGTCACAAAATGTTTGTTTCCTTCTCATGATCCAACAATTTTACAAACTAAGAACTAGAGCAATGGTATGCCTGCTGATCATAAATCTGGATTGGCACAGAGGCAGATTGTTATTTAACCAAGATTTGTACCATCCTTTTTCCTTAGAGCTCACCGGCTGTAAACCCTGTGGAAAATACTGGTGGTTCATCTATTTCTGAACTTTGGTCTTGTTCCAATATCAAGTTGCAGGCACATCTGTTTTTACAGATAGTGCAAACAGGCTGTTGGTTCCTTGCCTTTCAGACGTACTCTTGACTTGGAAAGAAAACCTGGCTATCCTCCGAATAACGGCTACATATTATGGCGCCAAGAAACACACCCTGATTGGGCCGCAGTCACATGTAAATTGCGGACTTCTGGCGACTTTATTTGCATACCGGCGACTATCGCCACTGCCGAGATTATCTCCCGCTATGCGCTTAGCGGGGCTAAACTAGAGGCTGGGCATCTCCTGCAGCTTTGCTCGTAAGCACCAGCCATCTAGTTTAGCCCTGCTTCGCGGCGTGGAGATACTCTTGGCAGTGGCGGTATAGTCACAGGAAGTCCACAATTTACATGTGACTGAGGCCCTGTTTTTGGCCGCCATAATATGTGGCCATTATTCAGAGGATGGCTAAAAACCCAAATAAGCTGCACCTTAGGACACACGGAACTTTCCCCTGGAATCCACATGTAAAAGAAACTCTACAAACACAACTGAATGTGAAATAACTTACATTCTGAGAGCACATGTCAGACATAAATTCCCACCCACAACAAAAGAAACAACACTCCAAATCCCATGAAAATCGATGCCACTAGCGATACAACTAGTTCCTTGATGATGTCCCTTGCAAACTTTGTGCTGGTTACCTCGTATCTGCAGCTAGTTAAGGGAATGTTATTACATTTATTTTAGGGTTTGTAAACGCAATTCATAATCCCTGAAAAACTGGTTAGATTCAGATGTAGGTTGTAGAGAGCCATGCTCACCGAC